GAAAGAATCACGCTTTCAGGTAAGCGATCATTGGAAATAGGATGACTACAATTTGTAGAGACTCATATATGTCAAATCCCAAATAGGTGACCTTATAATACTATTATTTAGGCTAATCTCGCGGTGGTTAATGGCAACAAATTCTACGCATTCCAGTGGGTTTTGTAAAAACCTTTTCAATACTTTATTTTCTTTAGCGGATCGCCCGTCGAGAACTGGTACAAGATTTTGTGTGAGGGTTTGATCGTTTGCTCGGGGACAAATTTGCAATTGGTTGGAGCTGCACTTGGAAGCGGAATTTATCTCGGAAAAGAACCACATACATCGGAGGGTTACGCTCGAGGACATATAGGAGTTGGAGAATTTGATTGAACTTTTTCGAAATGTGATTCTAGGGCTATTATCAAACGAACGATTTAGCTGGCCGGTGTCAAAATGATGAACATTATTCTAGGAACAATCATATTCGAGGAGGAACATATTGTTTGGCGCTCGTTGAAGGTTTATTCTTGCTTAGTTGGCTTTAAACACCCATAAGCTTAAGCATATAAATTCTTGCTAATATCTGTATTTAGTTGCCAATGATCCAAGCAAGTATCAAGATCATCAATGGTGTTACGTAGTGCAAGATCCGGATATTCTTCAAATTCGTGTCCTCTTCATGTAAGTTATTCTTTTTTTGATTCATTGATTCAATCATTTTAATTGTTTTTCTTTTTAGCTATGAATCTTGTTCGGCAACCTCAGCACTTCCGATCGACAATTTCTTGGCCAACCATCCGGATATGTTGAAAGTTCAAGAGGTTTGTTTAGAAGGATTTTTAAAATATTAATCAAAAAGAACTGGCCTTCGGAGAATCTACTCAAAATTCAGTATAAAAAGTTGCAAGGTTGGAGCTATTAGGTTGAGTACTAAGTCTTTACCTCTTCATTTCATTATTTGAACGAACGAGTCTCAAACCACCAAATACTAAACGTGTGGCGAATAGCCACTAAAAGTTATCTAACTCTGACAGCCTAAAAATTGGAAAAATATTGAGGAAATCGGTGCGCCTTCATTTTATTTCGCGCCCCAAATCATTTATTGTTTTGTAGCTTGTTAGCTGAGTATCGTGTGTTAAAGCCTATATAAGGCAACTGTTGTTCATTTGTTTTTTGTTATCTTTCATTTGTTTTTTCTGCTTTCCTCTGATTTTGTGTGAAAGTTGTGTCCTAATTAGGACGAAATTGCTTCTGTTTTTATCGTCACTTTAATTCAATTGTCGATATTGTGTGAAAGTTGCTCAAGTGAGAGCCCAAAGATTCCGAATCAATCGGCTATTGAATAAAGTGCTTTTTTTAGTTCAAGAGAGATCAGATATCTCAAAACAAGAAATAACGTGTCTTGAGTGAAGAGTACCAAGCACGCAAAGAATATTTCTTTACAAAACGCTTTCTTTCATTATGAATGTTTATCGTTGACTTTTTGTCATTTTTAAACAATTTTGAGTGTTTTAGAAAAATCTGCGAGAACGAAAAGTGGTATTTTTAAAAATATTGAAAAATGAGTACACCAAGAAAACCGCTAAACGAATTATTCTGAAATTTTGGCTGTAGATCTAACTTTTTGTGCACTATCTTTTCTATTTTGGCATCAAAATAAGGTTTGATTGGAAGAAACGGTCTAATTCGCATCATCGGACCTTGTCGTTTTTGAATACTTAGCTTCTTGCTAATGAAAAACCTTGAAAACAAATCTTTTTAGAAACTTTCAAAAGTCAATTGCAAGAGAAATGCTTTGGCTATCTGATGAAAGAAATTGTATCTTATTTGGTAGTCTGAGACTTACTCAATTAGAAAATGAGTTTTGGTGGAAGCTTTAGTACTCAACCCAATAGCAAATCAAATTTTGCGCTTAAGTTTCTTTTTGGAATCAAATTCATCTATTCATTTTAGGCGATGAACTTCTTTATCCACGGGGATTTCCACGAACGTTTGGCTGCTGTTTACGATTCGGAACTTGATGAGAAAGCATTGGACGAGGAGAATTTACCTAGTCATCGCTTGCAATATTAGTACAGTAATGCTTCTACTTTAAACTATACGGTTATTTCTCTTTTATTCATTATTATTCATTATTTATTCTTCTGTTCATGCATATTTTAATTGGTTAAGCTTTCTAAAATTTATGCTTAAACAAAAACTGTCGTAATCTGGATTCCTTTAGGAACTAAACATTGCATTTTTTACGAATAGTGAGGTTACGGTAGCTTTTCCTTAAACACTTTAGAAACATGACCATTATTACCAAATGTCTTTCATGATCCAATCATCTTGTCTTTTTCATTTTAGATTTTGTCCATTCCTCTTTTTTTTCCCGGTTAACGGTGTTTGCTTTTCCGTTGTAAAATAAGCCATAAAGCAACTTACATTTTTTTGTGATAAATTCGAAAATATAAACTTACTCAAGTTCTAAAAAACGGAAATTTAATATACAGTTTACATCTAAAACTGATTGGGTGAAAACCCCTTACAAGCTTAAAAATTTAAACATTGCGAAAATGCGCTATAGGCCTGGGTTGAAAAATAGTGACTTTCGGATAATATTGAACGTTTTTTTGTGAAAAATTTCGTTCGCTCTCCTCTAAAGATTTCACCGTCTTGTCAGTTTTAAATAAAAAGGGCAACGATAAATATCAACACGATTTCCTCGGTTTTAGATTGAAATTAGAACAAAAATGTTAACTTTCCCAATAATTTCTTTCATTGATTCACTTAAAATTTAATGTTAAATGTTATTTTCAATATTCTAATGCTTTTACTTTAGATGAGCTTCTCGGGAGGTGAGAACGATTATCAAAGCGATGACGAGACGAGCTCCAAAGAAGAAAGGTTACATTTATTATTAACTTTACTGCCAAGCTTTATCTAGATCATTGTTGATAGGTCTGAGGATTTGTCCGTTTTTTTTTCGAAATTGAAAGTGATGTCATTGTCGCGTGAAGTGATAGTGAAGCTGTCTGTAAAAAAATAGTTTTTTTTAAGAACTGAGTGGTTTATTGGATAGTGTGCCTGCCATAATGACTTAATTAGTTCATAAAATTTCTTATATCGACCAAGGTTTTATGAAAAAGGCTCAAAATTTTCAAAAGAAAAAACCATGACTTTCTGCTTATTTCTCATTTGCAAATTCTTGTTGCTTAGCAGATTAAATACGTTCCAGGATAGCATAATCTTTCGAAAAATAATGTGGCTAAACAGGCATATCCACAGACAAACTGTCAAAATTTCACTTTCACCGTTTCAACAACATTTTTCTAATCATCAAACTTTTTGTGTTTAAGAGCACTGACAGGTTACATGATATCCATCTTTTTGATATATTTTTCCAAAAGGCAACGAAGCAACAAGCTTAGTTGAGCAATAAACTCAAAATCTTCAACTCCATTTTTTCAAAACTTCATTCTTTGAGAAAACAAAAACTTATTGCCTTTAGCTATTAGTGTGACTTCCATCTTGAGTAAATCCAATGGGGATAATTTGAAAAAGCGCAAGATTCTTGTTAGAAGCACTCAAAATTCTTTCGGAGGAAGACTCTGGAGCTATTTAAAGGCTATGACGCTACTCATGTTCCGAATTCTTTAGAAGTGTCTTTCTTTATGGAGTGCACAAAAGCAAATGCTACTAAGAAAAGAAAGTGTTTTAGAATCAAATCTTTCGTCTTTTTTCAGTTCAAAAATGGAGTTGAAGATTTTGAGTTTATTGCTCAACTAAGCTTGTTGCTTCGTTGCCTTTTGGAAAAATATATCAAAAAGATGGATATCATGTAACCTGTCAGTGCTCTTAAACACAAAAAGTTTGATGATTGGAAAAATGTTGCTGAAGCGGTGAAAGTGAAATTTTGACAGTTTGTCTGTGGATATGCCTGTTTAGCCACATTATTTTTCGAAAGATTATGCTATCCTGGAACGTATTTAATCTGCTAAGCAACAAGAATTTGCAAATGAGAAATAAGCAGAAAGTCATGGTTTTTCTTTTGAAAATTTTGAGCCTTTTTCATAAAACCTTGGTCGATATAAGAAATTTTGTGAACTAATTAAGTCATTATGGCAGGCACACTATCCAATAAACCACTCAGTTCTTAAAAAAAACTATTTTTTTACAGGCAGCTTGTTTGGATCAGTAACACCCGCAATTGATACCCCAAACCTAAACGTTTGACTCAAAAACTCGAAGTGTCCATTCATAGGGCTATCATAGGGTTGAATTTTCCCTTTCTCAAAAATCAAAATTCCGTCATGCCCGATGAGCAAGTCGGCGGCCGTTGTGGTCGAAGGTGATTTGGTGGACGGTGTCTCGATGAATCCTTATTTTATTTAATACTTGAATGTTATTTGTTAGTGTTATGTTGGCGAAATGGATCGTGCGTGGCATGTAGACCGGCTTGGTTTGTTTATTTAAAACTTGAACAAGTTCGGCTTAAAGGAAAGCACCAAGAACAATCAAATCATCGAGGATTTAAAATACATCACAAATTTACAGAACAAAATACAGCTTTAATTTTTGAATTCAAAATAGAGAATAAATATCCACTGTGCATTAATCCACGTCATAATCTATGGATAATCAGTATTTCAATCGATTCTTTTAGCAAAATGCTCATAAAAGACCGCTAGGGGCAAATGAAAACTGAGTTTTTTTCGTAATTTCATTTTTTTAATCATGTTTAGAAGAAATTGTACATTGTAGTTTGCATTCGATAAAAAACGAAAATGAAAACTTTGAACAACTTTTGGACAATAAGAATCAATGGTTGTTTCAAAAAGGGAATAATCATTGACAAATAAAAGATATTCAGCTAAAGAAGAGAATTTTGATTATAAGGGAAAGATGTGGATTATAAAAATTATAAGGGAAAGATGTGGGATTTGATGTTATTGATGGAGTCTTGATGAACAAATGGATTCGGATTCGAACAAATGGATTGGGTGGACGATTCGGGGTAGAGATGTTTCATTGAGATGGATCGGCTGGGGGTGAGGGGTTTTGAATATATCGAAATATATCGATCAGTCTGACTTTTTGGTTTCGTAATCAAAGCTTATGTCTGGAAATTTAGTTTTTAAAGTTGACAAGAGCAGTGGACTATCTGCAGAGCAGTGGCAATTCGCCACACGGACATTTAATTGAAATAACGCAGAAAAACAAAGTACTCGATCAATCGCCATGTTGGGGTCAATTATTTTTGACCCCGGAGCTAATCTAGGGCAAATCCTGTATACACGCTTTCCCATAATCATTAAATTTTTATTGTTTGTTTGAATACTGTCAAGCCAAAGCCTTTATAAGCAAGGGTTCCTACCATTTTTGTCGCATTCTGCCCGTCCTTCTTTTAGCATGTTGCCTCACTTTTTGCCCATCCTTCGTTCATTATTTTAGTAAGACGCTTTGCTATAATTGGTTTTAAATGTTGTAGTTTGTGATTGCTTTCCAGTGGATACGAAACGTACAAGTTTTATTTTAGCACATGTCAACCTCATCTTTCAACTTCCTCGAAGAACTTCCCGATGTCATCTTCTATGCGGTGTTGGAGAGACTGCCTGGACGGGTCATCGAAAAGTTAGCGACCCTTATTTTCTGATTTTAATCTTTGCTTTAGCACTGTTCGACTAATCTCAAAGGATTTCTACAGAAAGGTCGAGATGCGCAGAGGGAGACTTCCTCGTGTTTATATCGATCAACTTATTATTCGCGCAGGGAACAGGGTAAGATATTATTGGGTTTGTTACAAAAATATCGGTTTTAGTTTGGGTATAGAAGAGAGCCTAGCGAGAGAGCAAGGCGTTACCTTGAATTTGATTATCAAGAAACGACCGATCCGGCTGACTTGGTTCAACATTTGAATCATTTGAAAGAGCGTGCAACCTTCAAGACCCTCGAGTTGGTTAGTTTTCCGTAACATTTAATGGTACTTAAAATCTGTTTTTTAGGATAATGTCAATTGGGCTTGTGCTGCAAATTGCAAGTTGCAAATCGAATGCGAAGAATTGTCTTGTTGTGTCAATTTAACGACTCTTTCTCCGGAAAGATTCATGGATATTTTTTGCAGTATAAGACCAACACGGAAGCTAACGATTGGGGTAAGTTTGTATTGCACGAATTAAAATTAGGCTCATTAAGGCGGACAACGACATTTTTCCTGTGACGAGTGAGTTTTTCACCAACAATTATGCGACTCGATTGCAAGAAGTTTCGTTGTTCGGTTACGGGAATGCCATGGTTGATCCATTAAATGACACGGTTTGTTTTGATTTGGTCCTCAATGAACAATTTGTTACGACCCGGTTAATATTTATTGTTTAGATCTTGTTGTATTCAAATCTTTCGTTTGTTGACATTGATTTTCTAACAAGTCCCGGGTGCACTCTTGATGGGATTCAAAGGATGCTCCGAGACTGGTACACTTCAGAGCGTCGAATTGATTACATTACAAAAATCTCAATTCTCGATGCAATATCCCGTAAAAGTGACAGAAAAATATTGAAATTTCAAGTTAAATGGCTTTTTTTGTGCTTAACTTTGCTTAATTTTGCTTAATTTTGCTTAAATTCGCTTAATTTTGCTGAATTTTGCTTAATTTGGCTGAATTTGGCTTAATTTTGCTTAATTCCGCTTAATTTGGCTTAATTTTGCTGAATTTGGCTTAATTTTACTTAATTTTGCTGAATTTTGCTGACTTTTGCTTAATTTTGCTGAATTTGGCTTAATTTTACTTAATTTGGCTGAATTTTGCTTAATTTCGCTTAATTTTGCTTAATTTCGCTTAATTTTGCTGAATTTGGCTTAATTTTACTTAATTTGGCTGAATTTTGCTTAATTTCGCTTAATTTCGCTTAATTTCGCTTAATTTCGCTTAATTTGGCTGAATTTGGCTTAATTTTGCTTAATTCCGCTTAATTTCGCTTAATTTCGCTTAATTCCGCTTAATTTTTGCTTAATTTTTGCTTAATTTTTGCTTAATTTTACATAAAAATTTCTGTTTTTATGTAAATTTTTGATTTTTCATTAATTTATTTATAATTTTTCATAAAAATTGCATAAAAAATAAAGCTTATTGACAAAAAAGTAGAAATCAATTGAACAATTCCACATATCTTTAAATCTCTATTCTAAAAACTTTAAACCTATTCAGTTGTCTTTTATCCAGCTAAAAGTCTGCAAAAGATTCAGATTTTGACCGCAATTTCAAAAAAATATTTTCAAGCAAGCAAGTTTATAGAAAAGCTCATTGACAAAACAAACAATTTTGAAATGCAAACAAAAACTCTCACTAGCAAGAACTGTAAATGTTGTGAGCTGTATATAAGCAGTGATAGCCAACTAAGAAATAGCTAAAGTTTCAGAAAATTCTGATTATTCAAAAAAAAAGATACAGTCATGGACAAAAGTCTTTTAACATTGGTTTTTAGAAGTTTGTTCTTTGTATATCTTGGTCCAAATCCGAGCAATTTGCAAAGGGTTAAAAGATTTAAAGAGCTTATTATCTCTAATTTTAACATTACAAAAAGATGGATTTAACAATTTATCAGATGTCATGAACTTTTAATAAAACAAAAATTGGGCCAAAAATTGATTGACAAAAGTCTTTTAACATCACAGTTTCTTCGTGAAATTTTCTGTTTTTCCTATTGATTTCTGGTTGCTAACACTGATTTTTTAGATGCCCGGCGCCTACTTATCAACTCCGGACAAGGAGACAAGGAGAAAATCGTCGAAGCTCGAAAAAATGGAATGTCTAGAAAAGCCGTCGCTGAGCTCTTCCGCTGTACCGAAACAACTGTATCGCTTGTTGTCACCAGGGCCAAACTCGCGGGAAACGTTCATCGTGCCACAAAAAGTGGACGTCTACCAGTTACAACTTTACAAGAAGACAATGCGCTCGTTCTGGCCCACAAGAAGAACCCAAATCTGAATGCCTCTGATGGCGTGGCTATGGTGAAGCAACAAGGAGAATTTGTCTAGCTATTGCTTGCAATATTAGTACAGTAATGCTTACAGTAATGTTTCTACTTTAAAGGGTACGGTTATTTCTCTTCTATTCATTATTAGGCTGTAAAACAGTTGATTGAGCTTTTCAAAATGGAAGCTTAAACAAAGCTGCTTGCTTTTTCGTTGTAAAGTAAGCCATTAAGCAATTTACATTTTCTTTTTATAAATAATGTTTTCATGAATCATGAAACATCCAGATTGGACAAATTTAAAAAGATTATTGATCGATCAAATGAATTAGTTTAATGATTTCAAATGAAGTTTAATGATTTCAAATTATAAATAACATGGTTTTAATATTTTAATATAGTGAAAATTTGCAGCACATTTTCAGAATCACTCAACGATTCCACGAACTCCAAACGTTTGCACATGCATTTCACTGAAATCACCACCGTTTTCTACAGCCTTCTCCCGTCTTGAATTTTGCTTCGAATGCTTCTTAAAAAAGGAAAAAGCCTGGGGAGCACAAACGAATTTGAACCATGGGCCTTTCGGACTGCAGCCGAACGCTCGGCCACTGAGTTATACCGCCGGGTGTTTGTTAGGACAGGAAATGGGGTGTGGAAAAGAAACTGGCTCATGTAATCCCGGATCGGTTGCTTTGCATGCAGTCCCAAGTCCCAAAAAGTCCCGAGAAGTCCCAAAAAAGCTGAACGAGAATTGCATCAGCCGCTCTCTCAAACGGTAGTTCTTCTAGAAAAGGGATGATGTATTTTAGAAAACTTTGGGCGAAACAGACTCTACTATTTAAGGCTACTTTAAAAAGTGTATGAGTTAAATTCCCCTGAAGAAAGAGAGGCCAGGTGCGTTGTGGTGTAATGGTTAGCACATTTGCCAGGTAATCAAAAGGTCGCGGGTTCGAGTCCCGGCGGCGCACAAGTTTTGATCTAGTTTCAACTTATGCTCTGGAAGATTTCTGTTTTTGTACACATGAGAGGAAATTGACTTAGATTTAAGTGTTACCGATGAATGGACAGTTCGGCTTTGATACAATTTCATTGGACATTTAATTGAAATAACGCAGAAAAACTAAGTACTCGATCAATCGCCATGTTGGGGTCAATTATTTTTGATCCCGGAGCTAATCTAGGGCAAATCCTGTATACACGCTTTCCCATAATCATTAAATTTTTATTGTTTGTTTGAATACTGTCAAGCCAAAGCCTTTATAAGCAAGGGTTCCTACCATTTTTGTCTCATTCTGCCCATCTTTCTTTTAGCATGTTGCCTCACTTTTTGCCCATCATTATTTTAGTAAGACGCTTTGCTATAATTGGTTTTAAATGTTGTAGTTTGTGATTGCTTTCCAGTGGATGTTTCGTACAGTTTTATTTTAGCACATGTCAACCTCATCTTTCAACTTCCTCGAAGAACTTCCCGATGTCGTCTTCTATGCGGTGTTGGAGAGACTGCCTGGACGGGTCATCGAAAAGTTAGCGACCCTTATCTTCTAATTTTAATCTTTGCTTTAGCACTGTTCGACTAATCTCAAGGGATTGCTACAGAAAGGTCGAGTTGCGCAGAGGGAGACTTCCTCGTGTTTATCTCGATCACCTTATTATTCGCGCAGGGAACAGGGTAAGATATTATTGGGTTTGTCACAAAAACATCGGTTTTAGTTTGGGTATAGAAGAGAGCCTAACGAGAGAGAAAGGCACTTTGACTATCACTTTGACTATGAAGAAACGATCGATCCAGCTGACTTGGTTCAACATTTGAATCATTTGAAAGAGCGTGCAACCTTCAAGACCCTCAAATTGGTTAGTTTTCCGTAAAATTTAATGGTACTTAAAATCAGTTTTTAGGGAGAATGTCAATTGGGCTTATGCTGCAAATAGCAATTTACAAATCGAATGCGAAGAATTGTATTGTTATGCCAGTTTGACGACTCTTTCGCCGGAAAGTTTCATGCATATTTTTTGCAGTATAAGACCAACACGCAAGCTAACGATTGGGGTAAGTTTGTATTGCACGAATCAAAATTAGGCTCATTAAGGCGAATGGGGACAACAAAATTTTTCCTGTGACGAGTGACTTTTTCACCAACAATCATTCGATTCGATTGCAAGAAGTTTCGTTTTTCGGTTACGGGAATGCCATGGTTGATCCATTAAAGGACACGGTTTGTTTTGATTTCGTCCTCAATGAACAACTTGTTACGACCCTTACTCCGGTTAATATTTATTGTTTAGATCTTGTTCTATTCAAATCTTTCGTTTTTTGACACTGATTTTCTAACAAGTCCCGGGTGCACTCTTGATGGGATTCTAACGATGCTCCGAGACTGGTACACTTCAGAGCGTCGAATTGATTATATTAACCTTCGAGCACGTGGCGAACATCAAAATGTGAGCTCTTTTAACTTTCTTATTTTGCTGAAAATAATTTGGATGCGGTTTTTAAAAGAGCTGCAAGATCGACTTAACTATTCTAGTCTAGATAGCCTAGATAATCATTAAAAGCAATTCAAAGCAATTGGTAATTTTCGAGATAAAATTGTTCAATTTTTAGTTCTGGCGCAATTTACGTCCATTGCTAGTTCGTAAAAGGTTCCACTGCGAGGATTACATCGAATCTATCCGCGCTTTGGAAAGAGCGAATGGGGAGGTCATTAAGCTTGATGTTTGCATTGATCATCTTGGCTATCTTTGGTATGTTTTAGCATGGGTTTTTTTTCTAACGTATGAAACTATTTATTACAAAATTGTTTTAGTATCGAAATGATTCGACTAGTGTCCGGCCCGAAAGCGGACTTATATAGGCGGTATGATGACGCTGGTGGTCATGACGATGATGACGATGATGACGTGGATTATGACCTGGTTTTTGACGTGAATTATTACGTGGATTAATGCACAGTGGATATTTATTCTCTATTTTGAATTAAAGCTGTATTTTGTTCTGTAAATTTGTGATGTATTTTAAAGCTTAAGTTTCGATGTTGGACGTGTGATCGCTCTTTCTTGGAAAGTATCTGCTACTACTAATGTCAAAATTTGAAACTTTTCTCACTGAATAAATCCTTCATGATTTCATTGTTCTTGGTGCTTTCCTTTAAGCCGAACTTGTTCAAGTTTTAAATAAACACTAATGAGTTTATGAAAATCGTACCAGTTTTCTTTCTTTCTAAAAGCTGCTCGGAAATTTCGGTATCGGTATTTTGAAAGCGACTAAACAACCCGGTCTACATGCCACGCACGATCCATTTCACCGCCTCAGAATCTCCCCAGTTTCCGTGTTCATTCTGATCAAACGGAACAAATGGGTTTTATCTTTCACAAGGCAACCAATAGTTCAACTGTGAAATGTTGTGAGCTGTATATAAGCATATGAAGCTTAACAAGCTCCGCCCATTAAACTCAAACATGAGTAAACTTGCTAAGTCCCGCCCCTGAAGCCTATATAAGCAGGCAAAGGCAAATCAAAAGAGCTTGGATTCAACAATAAACGAAATGCCAAGAAATATCAACGATTTGAAAGACTTTAACCTCTCCTTCTTACTCTTTCTTCCCGCCAATGGTTTCAACGAATGGCTCGTTGACATCGGCCTTCTTCACGGACTTACCTCGCAAAGCCGAAATGGTTGTCTACGACTGGCAAGGACAGAAGCCCAAATAAAAGTGCAACAAGAGCCGATGCCGTCAGTCCGATCGCAAGCACCGAATTGGGTACTTTGTCCTTTTTTCAGGATCTGACCTCGAGGCAAGCCTTCAAGTTCGTGTACTTGCACCTTCGCCGCTACGGCACTCACAAAATCATGGCCAAAGAACTACCCGTGGAAAGAGGTGCAATTCATTTACGTTTGCAAGCGTTGAAAAATCGTATTTCAAGAAAAAGTTGTCCTCCAACTCGTAAAGAAACGATCAAGAGTGCTCCAAGTGCAACAATCTCTTCAATTGCTGTTTCTCTACCGCCAATTCCTTATCTCCATTCATGCGTGAGTTGTTCAAAATAGAAAAAAATCAAGAATGAGTCAGCTAAGATGCTTCTGAATCACCAAAAATGCTACTTTAATTTCCAAATCCTTTCAGAAACTGATTGGTTGGATAGAAAAGTGAAAAAATGGAAGATTGGGGTAACTTTTTTGGCTAAAGAGTTGTGATCCCTTTGTGATCCAGTTGTGATTGAGCGTTGTGATCCAGTTGTGATCCCTTTGTGATCCAGTTGTGATTGAGAGTTGTGATCCAGTTGTGATCCCCTTGTGATCCAGTTGTGATTGAGAGTTGTGATCCAGTTGTGATCCCCTTGTGATCCAGTTGTGATTGAGAGTTGTGATCCAGCTTTCCCTTGTTCTTTCATGTATCCCATTTCTTCTATTTTCAATCTATCAACTCATCATGATAATCAATCATTTCCAAAAATGATTCCAACAATTCCACAATGATTCCAAAAAAACTCTTTATTGAATTGAATTAAAGAAAAGCTTGTAGCCCAGCTGTGGATCTTCAAAAATAAAGATTTCTTTGCAATCTTTCTTTGTTGGATTGCAACTTTGTGTCACATTTATCATTTTCTTTATTATCGGAATGATTGGTGGATTCGATCGAAGGAAATGATTTCTAGCAGCTTTCATGATTTATATAGTAAACAGTTTATCTATCTAATCGAGTTAATTCCAAGATAAATCATTATGTTCAGGAGGATCGAAGCAGTAATCTTGGCCACATCGGAGCTTCGAAGCAGATCGAAGCAGTAATCTTGAGCTCATCGCCAACTATCGAAGTCGAGCTGATTTTGATCTGAAGCTGAAGCAGCCATTTTGATGCTAATTTGTTTGATTCTCGCTTTCAATTACGAATTTACTATGTTCGTTTAAAAGCTTGTAGGGCGTTTAAAAGCCTGTAGCGCGTTTAAAAGCTTGTAGAGCATGTTATTAGAGAATCACAAATAAACGAGGTGATAACAAAATTTGTTATTTGAATTCCAGAGATTCACGAGGTAAAAGGGGGAGGAAAGACACTCAATAAATTGACCTTTGCAGAGTTTGATTTCTGTAAAAACTGCAATATGATCTCTTTTCTAGTGTAGTCTTGTACACAAACAATCAATATTAAATCAATTTATTCCCATAACAAATTCTGTGAAGCCGTTTTCCGTTTAATTTCCAGCTCTCGGAGTCCACACGTGGCCCGGCTCCGTCAATTTCACAAAGCCGTCCTGATTGACGAGAACACTATCGTTGCATCCAATCGGTTTACATGAGCAGCGAATGTTTCCGTCATCCGAAAAGATCGTGACGTACTTTTTTTCCGCGTGTCCTGGTTTGTACGGCTCCACATCACCGCTTCTCACTGCCGAGAAGCCAACGCTTTCCGCCACACGAATGATCTTCTTGGTTTCTGAAAGTTTGAAAGGACATTCAAAGAAATACGTTCGCATGTTTACGAGCAATTTAGAATATCTCTAAACTCTAAACTAAAATATCTCTAGGCTTTCACCTGAGTAGCCGAGTTTAGCTTTCTCCGATGCAAATTTGATTTCTTTGTTGATGACAACGGTTCGATCACAATCAACAAACACGAGGACACATTGTTTGTAGTCATTTGCCACGTGATTTATCCCCGGACAGGCGAAGCGTCCGCAGGCAGGCATCTGGTTCTAAATTTGCTACAAGTTTTGTGACTGATGCGCGGCTTTGTTTAAAGCAAATACGAAATATGGCAGAGAGAGAAAGAGAGAGAGAGAGAGAGAGAGAGAGAGAGACGTGTGCCCTATTGGACAGACATTGGACATTTGTCGATTTAATGTTGACAAAAACAGACTTGTTCAAGTTTACAAACATATTATGCCTAAAAAAAATAAAGAAGAAAATCTTATCTTTTATAGAGAACAAATTATTGCGCCATAAAATAAAAGTTTACTGATAGCAAAATTGTGGCGAAACGAAACGATTAATCTTGCATCAAAATTTGATCTGCTTCAAAATCTTGCTTTGCTCAAACATTGCAATTATTTTTTGTACAATAGTTGTTCAGCAATGTTTCAGCAATGTTTGTACAATGGTTGTTCAGCAATGTTTCAGCAGTCAGAAAATTTCTAGAGAAAAAGATGAATACACTGGCCAAAGGGTCACTTCAAAAACAATTTTCAAGCTTAAAACAATTTTCAACGAAGCAACAATTTCAGGAAATTAAATATGCAAGGAAACCAAAACATTTCTAAAGATGAGGAACAAAAGGTATTCAAAAAGAAAGAATTTTTCAAGACTGCGTTCAGAGGGGAATTTGATAAGGATTGAGAAAAGGGATGAGTGAAACGCTGAGAGAGAAACTCACCATGGACCTCCGAAATTCCCAAAATTATCCCAAACAAATAGGACAAATTATTTGGACAGAAAAACGCAAGAACAAAATAACGATTATCGTAGAGTTCAATTTAATTATTGTTTTTTGTTTAGAATAGATCAAATGCGTTCCATATCCGAAGGTTTCATTACTAGAATTTGTGATGAATCAACTAGAGCTAGCCAAAGTCCTCAAAATTTTCAGTCAATTGTTGGGTTCGGATCAGAATGCCAATCTGAGGGTTGGTAGAGTCAGAACAACCTGAATGCCTTCCATATCCAAGGGTTTTATCACTAGAATTCGTATTCGTTGTGAGAATTTTTCGAGAATGGGCGATTTTTGGAGATATAACACATATTTTTAGCATTAACCAGTGCCTAGAACAAAATGATTGAAAAATGATGAAAAATCGTCTTTTTTTTGTTACTTTTCAATCATTTTGTTCTAAGCTCTGGTTAATGCTAAAAATTTGCGTTATATCTGAAAGAAAGCACCCATTCTCTACTTTGATTTGGTATCTAAGCGCGCAGAAACAAATGTCTAGGCGCCGAGCGGTTTTTTGAGTGTCAAGTTCTTCAATTTGAACCCTAAAACCCAAGTTTATCATGCAGCATTATCTACTATATATAAAGCAGAAGAGATGTCTGTATGTCCGTCTGTCTGTCTATCACAGGCACTTTTCTCGACTTTTTTTTCCAAAAACTGCAAAACTAGCCGAGCCCGATGTTGCCTAACTTCCGCTCCGCACGCAGATGGCCCAGATGGCCGCACGCAGATTATCGATTGGCACGACAACAAGGATTATAAATTTACGTAAGAGCTCAACCTGCTGCCGTTTTCAGCTGTGTTAGCAGCTAAAAACTGCTGGTATTTCTTATAAGCAAGCATAGATAACTGAATATAATATTAATTTGGCTTAAACATAAAGCTATTCAATTGAATTTTCAAAATTTTCTCCCAATTTTCATTTTCGAGAATTTTTCTGCAATTTTCCTCAACTTTACGCGTTTGGATTTCTTGTCATTTTAATCACATCCACTCATTCTCACTTTTATTTATGTACTTTATTTATTTCATGTACGCGACGCTCCTCTAGGGTCGCGTACATGACGTACGACGCGTACGACGCTACTATAACAGTCTCTACGGTTTGCAATGACTGATGCTGGACAATTTGAATCTCCAAGTGCGTATTACTTTTTGTTAACGCTAGCTATTCCACCACCACTCTTTAATGATGCCATTCTTTGCGCTTTTTTTTGAAAAATGACGAGATTGCTTCAAGAATTGTCTAGATTTTCTTATTTTTAAGTCCCTTTATAGCTTGATTAGTTCGTTTAAGCATTTTAAAAACGTTTAAAAGGTTTGAACTTTTATAAAAACCAAATTTAACCGAATAATTTCCCGCCTTATCAGTGTTTTTCGTCTAAAAACGGATCACGAAAGATGTTTATATAATTTTCGCCATTCCTGGCGTAGTTATCACAAAATTGGCTCACTTTTTCCGATTGTTTCTCACTCGTTTTTTGCAAGTTTTCATTGTTTTTACGGTTATTTTTTAATATTCTAATGTTTTGATTTTAGAATGACCTTTTTGGAAGCTGAGGACGATGATCAAAACGATGACGAGACGAGTTTCGAAGAAGAAAGAGATAATTTTTCTGACGATGATCTCGGTGCTATCAAAAGGCCACGAAGAACTGAGGTAAATGCTTGGAATTTGAGTCTTTATAGCAGTTTCTCTTTGTAGGCAAAACGTTAAACTATTTTTTGTTTAAAGCTTCTATTGGTTTGTAAAAATTGGGTAAAATTGAGAATTTTTAAGATTCCAAGATTGATTTGAATAGCAAAAGAACTTTATTTAGTCTTTTAAAGAGACAATCATGCTTTAAGGCGCTAACTGAATTCTAAGAGAATGTTGTTTTTAGGTGAGTGGATACTTGACGATGGAGCTCGAGATGGCCAATCAGTTGATCGTTCCATATAAAGGTAGTGATGTTTTAATAATAAAACCTTGCAAATATATTCAAACATATTAAATAGATTGAGCAACATCTTCGAAATAACAAAAGATCAGTGATTTGGTGGTTGGGAGGGGTCACTTTTGACTTGGCGTCGAATCTGGTGTTTTGAGCGGTTCGTGTCGATACCTTTTTTTATTCCGGGATAATTATATATGCTGAAGCAATTGGTGCTAAATTAAGTACATATGAAATACTTTAAAATTAGCACCAATTGCTTCAGCATGTAATTACCCCGGAAGAGAAGAAAAGTATTGGCACGAATCTCTCAAAACACTAGATTCGACTAAGCAAACCAAAAGTGGCCCCTCCCAACCACCAAAGTATCAAAAGATCTCTTCTTTAACTTTCTTTTAGAATCGATGGTCTTCGAGGTTGACGATTATCACTTGCTGATCACATTACCACTTGACTTTATCAATGTATGTTTGCTTCATGGCTGGATTTTGTTACACTTTTTTGTTTAGAAACGATTTCGCGAGTGGTGGGGACTATTGGATCCTTGTTTGCGAATTCGTTTGACCTTCAATCTTGCGAAATACCGTCTCGGCGATGTGCCTGAAGCAACAGCATCAATGCCATACACGAAAAGGAACATTGCAATGGGAGCCATTGAAACGGTTTGTTTTGTTGGATTTGATGTGGCTTAGGCTTAGGCTTAGACTTAGGCTTTAGAGGCAAAGCATTCTAACTTTGCCTCTAAAGCCTAAGCCTAAGTCCAAGCCTGAGCCTAAGTCCAAGTCTTAGCCTAAGCCTAAGCCTGAGCTTGCTCATTTTCAGTTCATCAAGGACGACTTGACGAAATATTGGAGTGTGAGAAGCGAAGATGAACAAATCGGTGATGACAGCTTTTTCGCGGCATTCATCGATCGGCTAGTTGCACGAATGAAAGAATTGGGAAAGTGAGTGATGCTTTTGGATTTGGACTTTTACCCCTGAAACACTGAAGTTAAATCCATCCAACAATCAGCAGCTAGATTCAGTAATAGATTTGATTTATGTTATGTATCAAATTGCTATGAAATGATAGATTTAAGCATTTGAAAAGATGAGATCCAAACTAGCAAATTGAATTAAACTATAAACAACTTTTTTCTTAAGCTATTGCGTGCAGTGCACGATTCAACATTTGGGCGCTCATCCGCTGCTTTCTGTTTGCGATCACCCGCTTTGCTACTTTCAGAGAGATCGTTTAAGTACGTTTTTGAATCTGATGCTTTGTGAACTTTACATAATCTATTTCTTTAGGACAGACTTTCGAGTACTCCATGGGACCCCGTCTATGGGCCGATTCGGCACAATTGCTCAACTTTTTTATTCTCTCAGGCGAATGGTTGTCACCGGCGAGCTCTAATTTGCAAGCCCGATCCGTTAGATGATATGAATCTCAAAGAAGAATTTCGGTAGTCTATTCACATTTTAATGTTGAATATCGTAAATTTAGTGATTATGGTGAAATCTCGGCTGCTCTCTTGGGATATTGTACACGCTGTGTCTTCTCGACGTGGGCGAACTACGAGAAATTTCGTGACGATCCACTCACAAAGAAGAACGCTGATCTGCTTTATTGGTAAGTTTTAGTGGTGCTAGACTAATTTTTAAACATTACATTTTCAGGTTATCCGATCGTTTCCCGGTGATTTGTCGATTGCCTCCTCGTTTCCGAGTCACCTCGATGAGCACAATCCATCAATATGTTTTGCCACCGGTTCCATCGGAGAAAGAATCACGCTTTCAGGTAAGCGATCATTGGAAATAGGATGACTACAATTTGTAGAGACTCATATATGTCAAATCCCAAATAGGTGACCTTATAATACTATTATTTAGGCTAATCTCGCGGTGGTTAATGGCAACAAATTCTACGCATTCCAGTGGGTTTTGTAAAAACCTTTTCAATACTTTATTTTCTTTAGCGGATCGCCCGTCGAGAACTGGTACAAGATTTTGTGTGAGGGTTTGATCGTTTGCTCGGGGACAAATTTGCAATTGGTTGGAGCTGCACTTGGAAGCGGAATTTATCTCGGAAAAGAACCACATACATCGGAGGGTTACGCTCGAGGACATATAGGAGTTGGAGAATTTGATTGAACTTTTTCGAAATGTGATTCTAGGGCTATTATCAAACGAACGATTTAGCTGGCCGGTGTCAAAATGATGAACATTATTCTAGGAACAATCATATTCGAGGAGGAACATATTGTTTGGCGCTCGTTGAAGGTTTATTCTTGCTTAGTTGGCTTTAAACACCCATAAGCTTAAGCATATAAATTCTTGCTAATATCTGTATTTAGTTGCCAATGATCCAAGCAAGTATCAAGATCATCAATGGTGTTACGTAGTGCAAGATCCGGATATTCTTCAAATTCGTGTCCTCTTCATGTAAGTTATTCTTTTTTTGATTCATTGATTCAATCATTTTAATTGTTTTTCTTTTTAGCTATGAATCTTGTTCGGCAACCTCAGCACTTCCGATCGACAATTTCTTGGCCAACCATCCGGATATGTTGAAAGTTCAAGAGGTTTGTTTAGAAGGATTTTTAAAATATTAATCAAAAAGAACTGGCCTTCGGAGAATCTACTCAAAATTCAGTATAAAAAGTTGCAAGGTTGGAGCTATTAGGTTGAGTACTAAGTCTTTACCTCTTCATTTCATTATTTGAACGAACGAGTCTCAAACCACCAAATACCAAACGCTTTCTTTCATTATGAATGTTTATCGTTGACTTTTTGTCATTTTTAAACAATTTTGAGTGTTTTAGAAAAATTTGCCAGAACGAAAAGTGGTATTTTTAAAAATATTGAAAAATGAGCACACCAAGAAAACCGCTAAACGAATTATTTTGAAATTTTGGCTGTAGATCTAACTTTTTGTGCACTATCTTTTTTATTTTGTCATCAAAATAAGGTTTGATTGGAAGAAACAGTCCAATTCGCATCATCGGACTTTGTCGTTTTTGAATACTTAGCTTCTTGCTAATGAAAAACCTTGAAAACAAATCTTTTTAGAAACTTTCAAAAGTCAATTGCAAGAGAAATGCTTTGGCTATCTGATGAAAGAAATTGTATCTTATTTGGTAGTCTGAGACTTACTCAATTAGAAAATGAGTTTTGGTGGAAGCTTTAGTACTCAACCCAATAGCAAATCAAATTTTGCGCTTAAGTTTCTTTTTGGAATCAAATTCATCTATTCATTTTAGGCGATGAACTTCTTTATCCACGGGGATTTCCACGAACGTTTGGCTGCTGTTTACGATTCGGAACTTGATGAGAAAGCATTGGACGAGGAGAATTTACCTAGTCATCGCTTGCAATATTAGTACAGTAATGCTTCTACTTTAAACTATACGGTTATTTCTCTTTTATTCATTATTATTCATTATTTATTCTTCTGTTCATGCATATTTTAATTGGTTAAGCTTTCTAAAATTTATGCTTAAACAAAAACTGTCGTAATCTGGATTCCTTTAGGAACTAAACATTGCATTTTTTTACGAATAGTGAGGTTACGGTAGCTTTTCCTTAAACACTTTAGAAACATGACCATTATTACCAAATGTCTTTCATGATCCAATCATCTTGTCTTTTTCATTTTAGATTTTGTCCATTCCTCTTTTTTTTCCCGGTTAACGGTGTTTGCTTTTCCGTTGTAAAATAAGCCATAAAGCAACTTACATTTTTTTGTGATAAATTCGAAAATATAAACTTACTCAAGTTCTAAAAACGGAAATTTAATATACAGTTTACATCTAAAACTGATTGGGTGAAAACCCCTTACAAGCTTAAAAATTTAAACATTGCGAAAATGCGCTATAGGCCTGGGTTGAAAAATAGTGACTTTCGGATAATATTGAACGTTTTTTGTGAAAAATTTCGTTCGCTCTCCTCTAAAGATTTCACCGTCTTGTCAGTTTTAAATAAAAAGGGCAACGATAAATATCAACACGATTTCCTCGGTTTTAGATTGAAATTAGAACAAAAATGTTAACTTTCCCAATAATTTCTTTCATTGATTCACTTAAAATTTAATGTTAAATGTTATTTTCAATATTCTAATGCTTTTACTTTAGATGAGCTTCTCGGGAGGTGAGAACGATTATCAAAGCGATGACGAGACGAGCTCCAAAGAAGAAAGGTTACATTTATTATTAACTTTACTGCCAAGCTTTATCTAGATCATTGTTGATAGGTCTGAGGATTTGTCCGTTTTTTTTCGAAATTGAAAGTGATGTCATTGTCGCGTGAAGTGATAGTGAAGCTGTCTGTAAAAAAATAGTTTTTTTTAAGAACTGAGTGGTTTATTGGATAGTGTGCCTGCCATAATGACTTAATTAGTTCATAAAATTTCTTATATCGACCAAGGTTTTATGAAAAAGGCTCAAAATTTTCAAAAGAAAAAACCATGACTTTCTGCTTATTTCTCATTTGCAAATTCTTGTTGCTTAGCAGATTAAATACGTTCCAGGATAGCATAATCTTTCGAAAAATAATGTGGCTAAACAGGCATATCCACAGACAAACTGTCAAAATTTCACTTTCACCGTTTCAACAACATTTTTCTAATCATCAAACTTTTTGTGTTTAAGAGCACTGACAGGTTACATGATATCCATCTTTTTGATATATTTTTCCAAAAGGCAACGAAGCAACAAGCTTAGTTGAGCAATAAACTCCAAAATCTTCAACTCCATTTTTTCAAAACTTCATTCTTTGAGAAAACAAAAACTTATTGCCTTTAGCTATTAGTGTGACTTCCATCTTGAGTAAATCCAATGGGGATAATTTGAAAAAGCGCAAGATTCTTGTTAGAAGCACTCAAAATTCTTTCGGAGGAAGACTCTGGAGCTATTTAAAGGCTATGACGCTACTCATGTTCCGAATTCTTTAGAAGTGTCTTTCTTTATGGAGTGCACAAAAGCAAATGCTACTAAGAAAAGAAAGTGTTTTAGAATCAAATCTTTCGTCTTTTTTCAGTTCAAAAATGGAGTTGAAGATTTTGAGTTTATTGCTCAACTAAGCTTGTTGCTTCGTTGCCTTTTGGAAAAATATATCAAAAAGATGGATATCATGTAACCTGTCAGTGCTCTTAAACACAAAAAGTTTGATGATTGGAAAAATGTTGCTGAAGCGGTGAAAGTGAAATTTTGACAGTTTGTCTGTGGATATGCCTGTTTAGCCACATTATTTTTCGAAAGATTATGCTATCCTGGAACGTATTTAATCTGCTAAGCAACAAGAATTTGCAAATGAGAAATAAGCAGAAAGTCATGGTTTTTTCTTTTGAAAATTTTGAGCCTTTTTCATAAAACCTTGGTCGATATAAGAAATTTTGTGAACTAATTAAGTCATTATGGCAGGCACACTATCCAATAAACCACTCAGTTCTTAAAAAAAAACTATTTTTTTTACAGGCAGCTTGTTTGGATCAGTAACACCCGCAATTGATACCCCAAACCTAAACGTTTGACTCAAAAACTCGAAGTGTCCATTCATAGGGCTATCATAGGGTTGAATTTTCCCTTTCTCAAAAATCAAAATTCCGTCATGCCCGATGAGCAAGTCGGCGGCCGTTGTGGTCGAAGGTGATTTGGTGGACGGTGTCTCGATGAATCCTTATTTTATTTAATACTTGAATGTTATTTGTTAGTGTTATGTTGGCGAAATGGATCGTGCGTGGCATGTAGACCGGCTTGGTTTGTTTATTTAAAACTTGAACAAGTTCGGCTTAAAGGAAAGCACCAAGAACAATCAAATCATCGAGGATTTAAAATACATCACAAATTTACAGAACAAAATACAGCTTTAATTTTTGAATTCAAAATAGAGAATAAATATCCACTGTGCATTAATCCACGTCATAATCTATGGATAATCAGTATTTCAATCGATTCTTTTAGCAAAATGCTCATAAAAGACCGCTAGGGGCAAATGAAAACTGAGTTTTTTTCGTAATTTCATTTTTTTAATCATGTTTAGAAGAAATTGTACATTGTAGTTTGCATTCGATAAAAAACGAAAATGAAAACTTTGAACAACTTTTGGACAATAAGAATCAATGGTTGTTTCAAAAGGGAATAATCATTGACAAATAAAAGATATTCAGCTAAAGAAGAGAATTTTGATTATAAGGGAAAGATGTGGATTATAAAAATTATAAGGGAAAGATGTGGGATTTGATGTTATTGATGGAGTCTTGATGAACAAATGGATTCGGATTCGAACAAATGGATTGGGTGGACGATTCGGGGTAGAGATGTTTCATTGAGATGGATCGGCTGGGGGTGAGGGGTTTTGAATATATCGAAATATATCGATCAGTCTGACTTTTTGGTTTCGTAATCAAAGCTTATGTCTGGAAATTTAGTTTTTAAAGTTGACAAGAGCAGTGGACTATCTGCAGAGCAGTGGCAATTCGCCACACGGACATTTAATTGAAATAACGCAGAAAAACAAAGTACTCGATCAATCGCCATGTTGGGGTCAATTATTTTTGACCCCGGAGCTAATCTAGGGCAAATCCTGTATACACGCTTTCCCATAATCATTAAATTTTTATTGTTTGTTTGAATACTGTCAAGCCAAAGCCTTTATAAGCAAGGGTTCCTACCATTTTTGTCGCATTCTGCCCGTCCTTCTTTTAGCATGTTGCCTCACTTTTTTGCCCATCCTTCGTTCATTATTTTAGTAAGACGCTTTGCTATAATTGGTTTTAAATGTTGTAGTTTGTGATTGCTTTCCAGTGGATACGAAACGTACAAGTTTTATTTTAGCACATGTCAACCTCATCTTTCAACTTCCTCGAAGAACTTCCCGATGTCATCTTCTATGCGGTGTTGGAGAGACTGCCTGGACGGGTCATCGAAAAGTTAGCGACCCTTATTTTCTGATTTTAATCTTTGCTTTAGCACTGTTCGACTAATCTCAAAGGATTTCTACAGAAAGGTCGAGATGCGCAGAGGGAGACTTCCTCGTGTTTATATCGATCAACTTATTATTCGCGCAGGGAACAGGGTAAGATATTATTGGGTTTGTTACAAAAATATCGGTTTTAGTTTGGGTATAGAAGAGAGCCTAGCGAGAGAGCAAGGCGTTACCTTGAATTTGATTATCAAGAAACGACCGATCCGGCTGACTTGGTTCAACATTTGAATCATTTGAAAGAGCGTGCAACCTTCAAGACCCTCGAGTTGGTTAGTTTTCCGTAACATTTAATGGTACTTAAAATCTGTTTTTTAGGATAATGTCAATTGGGCTTGTGCTGCAAATTGCAAGTTGCAAATCGAATGCGAAGAATTGTCTTGTTGTGTCAATTTAACGACTCTTTCTCCGGAAAGATTCATGGATATTTTTTGCAGTATAAGACCAACACGGAAGCTAACGATTGGGGTAAGTTTGTATTGCACGAATTAAAATTAGGCTCATTAAGGCGGACAACGACATTTTTCCTGTGACGAGTGAGTTTTTCACCAACAATTATGCGACTCGATTGCAAGAAGTTTCGTTGTTCGGTTACGGGAATGCCATGGTTGATCCATTAAATGACACGGTTTGTTTTGATTTGGTCCTCAATGAACAATTTGTTACGACCCGGTTAATATTTATTGTTTAGATCTTGTTGTATTCAAATCTTTCGTTTGTTGACATTGATTTTCTAACAAGTCCCGGGTGCACTCTTGATGGGATTCAAAGGATGCTCCGAGACTGGTACACTTCAGAGCGTCGAATTGATTACATTCACCTTCGAGCAGCTGGCGAACCTCAAAATGTGAGCTCTTTTAACTTTCTTATTTTGCTGAAAATAATTTGGATGCGGTTTTTAAAAGAGCTGCAAGATCGACTTAACTATTCTAGTCTAGATAGCCTAGATAATCATTAAAAGCAATTCAAAGCAATTGGTAATTTTCGAGATAAAATTGTTCAATTTTTAGTTCTGGCGCAATTTACGTCCATTGCTAGTTCGTAAAAGGTTCCACTGCGAGGATTACATCGAATCTATCCGCGCTTTGGAAAGAGCGAATGGGGACGTCATTAAGCTTAATGTTTGCATTGATCATCTTGGCTATCTTTGGTATGTTTTAGCATGGGTTTTTTTTTCTAACGTATGAAACGCGTTCAATGAAACTATTTATTACAAAATTGTTTTAGTATCGAAATGATTCGACTAGTGCCCGGCCCGAAAGCTGACTTATATAGGCGGTATGATGACGCTGGTGGTCATGACGATGATGACGTGGATTATGACGTGGATAATGACCTGGTTTTTGACGTGGATTCTGACGTGGATTAATGCACAGAGGATATTCTCTATTTTGAATTAAAGCTGTATTTTGTTGTGTAGATTTGTGATGTATTTTAAAGCTTAAGTTTCGATGTTGGACGTGTGATCGCTCTTTCTTGGAAAGTATCTGCTACTACTAATGTCAAAATTTGAAACTTTTCTCACTGAATAAATCCTTCATGATTTGATTGTTCTTGGTGCTTTCCTTTAAGCCGAACTTGTTCAAGTTTTAAATAAACACTAATGAGCTTATGAAAATCGTACCAGTTTTCTTTCTTTCTAAAAGCTGCTCGGAAATTTCGGTATCGATATTTTGAAAGCAACTAAACCAAGCCGGTCTACATGCCACGCACGATCCATTTCGCCGCCTCAGAATCTCCCCAGTTTCCGTGTTCATTTTTATCAGACGGAACAAATGGGTTTTTTTCTTTCACAAGGCAACCAATAGTTCAACTGTGAACTAACTCTTTCCAAACAATTTGTTCTATTCTCTTTTACAGCAAAATATAGTGATCTTTATTTTGAGATGTTTTGTTTGTTTATTGAATATTTTTTTACAAGTTTATTGCACATCTACAAAAAATAAGGCATTTCAATGAGGCGATGGGGTCCCTTCTTGTCCCTTGAGTCGCTAGTGGCCGTAGTGGCCTAAAAAGAAAACTTTATTAAAAGAAAATTTTCCTTGACTGCAACATAACACTAACACATAACATTCAAGTATTAAATAAAATAAGGTACCTGGCGTAGCGCAAAAAAACGACGTTTCAATGTGGGGCAGTTCACCCTCGCAGACGCCTCCTCCACCACCGCCGCCCTGAGGACCGTCTAAAATAAAAATGTTCAGGTAAAGAAAGAAATCAAATACCATCAGGTGCCATAGGTGCCGGCGCCATGTTGTTTCCCACAGTCGGATTGACAACCAAATTTACGCGCAAATCCTGCATCTATAAGAAAAAATGTTTTTTTGAAAATTAAAATGATTAAAATTAATTCGTATCAACAAACTCACCTCTAATCCACCGAAGTAAGTAAGGACTCGAAGCTGGTATGTTCCTGGCTGCGCTAAACGCATTCCAGTGGGTTTTGTAAAAACCTTTTCAATACTTTATTTTCTTTAGCGGATCGCCCGTCGAGAACTGGTACAAGATTTTGTGTGAGGGTTTGATCGTTTGCTCGGGGACAAATTTGCAATTGGTTGGAGCTGCACTTGGAAGAGGAATTTATCTCGGAAAAGAACCACAAACATCGGAAGGTTACGCTCGAAGATCTTCAGCCGTTCGAGAATTTGATTGAACTTTTTCGAAATGTGATTCTAGGGCTCACAACGATACTATCAAAAGAACGATTCTGCGGCCCGGTGTCAAAATGATGAACATTATTCTAGGAACAAGCAAATTCGACAAGAACCATATTGTTTATCGCTCATTGAAGGTTTATTCTTGCTTATTTGGCTTTAAACATCCATAGGCTTAGGCCGATAAATTCTTGCTAACATCTAGATTTAGTTGCCAACGATCCAAGCAAATATCAAGATCATCAATGGTGTTACGTAGTACAAGATGATAAGTTAAATTTTGTGCTGAAGTTTCTTTTTGGAATCAAATTCATCTATTCATTTTAGGCGATGAACTTTTTCATCCACGGGGATTTCCACGAACATTTGGCTGCTGTTTACGACTCGGAACTTGATGAGAAATCATTGGACGAGGAGAATTTGTCTAGCTATTGCTTGCAATATTAGTACAGTAATGCTTCTACTTTAAAGGGTACGGTTATTTCTCTTCTATTCATTATTAGGCTGTAAAACAGTTGATTAAGCTTTTCAAAATGTAAGCTTAAACAAAAACTACCGTAGTCCGGATACCATGAGTACCAAAAGAGTTTGTATACATACCTAATTCCCTTGTGATTTCCTTAAAACGTCGCAAGTCGTCAGCACAACATCTGCCCGGCGTAACCTAAAACGCTTTTAGAAAAAGTTTCTCAAAAACCGTATACTTTATCGTCCAAATTATCCCGGGTTTTTTTGGGGCCAGTGTGACAATAAATGTTGAGTGCGTAATCTTCGTCAACCTAAAATTAACATACTTTATCACGAAAAGCCACGTCACCTTGTCTTGCAGTTCCTGCTGCCATTGATTCAAAACCGACGAGGCAACGACCACTAAGGTTGAGAAAGCTCCCGTCACTTTTCTTCCAGAAGCTTGACTAAAAGTAGAAATAAAGTCAGCAAACTTTTGCAATCATACATTGCCTTGTTTACTAAACATGTTCCACTTTCCCTGGCTGTCTTGAGAAATCCCTCATTCTGTAAGGCGATCAAAAACGAAGTGATGAGGGAAATCGCCGATGTTGCTTTCCCGATTACTGAATCTAGCTGCTGATTGTTGGATGGATTTAACTTCAGTGTTTCAAGGGTAAAAATCCAAATCCAAAAGCATCACTCACTTTCCCAATTCTTTCGTTCGTGCAGCTAGCCGATCGGAATGCCGCGAAAAAGCTGTCATCACCGATTTGTTCATCTTCGCTTCTCACACTCCAATATTTCGTCAAGTCATCCTTGATGAACTGAACATGAGCAAGTTACCACATTAAACCCAGCAAAACAACCCGCTTCAATGGCTCCCATTGCAATGTTCCTTTTCGTGTATGGCAGTGATGCGGTTGCTTCAGGCTTTATGCGATTCGATTATGCGATTCGATTGCAAGAAGCTTCGTTTTGCGGTCACGGGTAAAGCGTAAAATCAATTTGTGAATGAATGTTCCAGTGACTCTAACAAGCACAAATTGTGTTCAAAACTCACTCAATTTGTCGATAATCTTCTTGATTTGATCGCTTTCCTCGGTGATTGTCGTGTTGGCCGTTCGAGCGTCCATCTCAGCCAAAGAAGCTTTTCGAACAGCCTAAATACTATGATAGATTTATTGGATATATCCAATTCATTGAAATATCCAGAGAGACTAGATTGAACAATAAGATCAAGTACCTACTTCTTTTAGACAGATCTTAGATTCTTAGATCTTTCTTCTTCTTAAGACAAGCCGGCTACTTGTAGTAAATTGTTTTTGTAAATTGTAAATAAATTGTTCTTGTAGTAAATAGTAAAGTCTCCCCCTCGATGTCCTGTATCGACAACATGCTAAAGTTAGCGATTTCCTCGTCGCTCATTTTCTAAAGTTAAATAATAAATTTATATATCGATCAAACTGAAATTTGAATCAAGAAAACAAAATCACGTTACATAAACAAAATAGCATTATTTCGAGTGCACATATTCATGAATACTAAGCGTCGTTTGTTCCGCCCATCGACTCGCACCAAGAACAACCAAATCATGAAGGATTTATTCAGTGTGAGAAAAGTTTCAAATTTTGACATTAGTAGTAGTAGGTACTTTCCAAGAAATCACAATCACACATCACACGTCCAACATCGAAACTTCAGCTTTAAAATACATCACAAATACATCACATGACCATCAGCGCCATCATACCGCCTATATAAGTCAGCTTTCGGGCCGGGCACTAGTCGAGTCATTTCGATCCTAAAACAATTTGGTAATAAATAGTTTCATTGAACGCGTTTGATACGTTAGAAAAAAACCCATGCTAAAACATACCTAAGATAGCCGTGCTCTAGATTAAAGTAAACCCCAAGCCAAATGACGTCCCCATTCGCTCTTTCCAAAGATTGTACCCTTCTAGGCCCGAAAACCTTGTCGTAGAACATTTTATCAACTAGCAATCCAGATAAATTGCGCAAGAACTAAAAATTGAACAATTACCGGGAATATCGGGAAAATGACCAATTGCTTTGAATTGCTTTTAATGATTATCTAGGCTATCTCGACTAGAATAGTTCAATTGATCTTGCAGCTCTTTTAAAAAGCGCTTCCAAATGATTTTCAGCAAAATAAGAAAGTTAAAAGAGCTCACATTTTGACGTTCTGCTTGCCCGCCAGCTGCTAGAAGGTGAATGCAATCAATTCGACGTTCTGAAGTGTACCAGTCTCGGAGCATCCCGTTAGAATCCCATCAAGAGTGCACCCGGGACTTGTTGGAAAATAATTGTAAAAAATCGGAAAATTTGAATACAACAAGATCTAAACAATAAATATTAACCGGAGTAAGGGTCGTAACAAATTGTTTATTGAGGACCAAATCAAAACAAACCGTGTCATTTAATGGATCAACCATGGCATTCCCGTAACCGCAAAACGAAACTTCTTGCAATCGAATCGCATAATTGTTGGTGAAAAAGTCACTCGTCACAGGAAAAATGTCGTTGTCCTGATTCGCCTTAATGAGCCTAATTTTGATTCGTGCAATACAAACTTACCTTAATCGTTAGCTTGCGTGTTGGTCTTATACTGCAAAAAATATGCATGAATCTTTCCGGCGAAAGAGTCGTAAAGCTGCCACAACAAGACAATTCTTCGCACTCGATTTGCAACTTGCAATTTGCAGCATAAGCCCAATTGACATCCATCTGAAAAACAGATTTTAAGTGCCAATAAATGTTACGGAAAACTAACCAACTCGAGGGTCTTGAAGGTTGCACGCTCTTTCAAATGATTCAAATGTTGAACCAAGTCAGCTGGATCGATCGTTTCTGCAAAGTCACAGTAAGGCCTTGCTCTCTCGAAAGGCTCTCTTCTATACTCAAACTAAAACCGACATTTTTGTAACAAACCCAATAATATCTTACCCTGCTCCCTGCACGAATAATAAGTTGATCGAGATAAACACGAGGAAGTCTCCCTCTGCGCAACTCGACCCTTCTGTAGCAATCCCTTGAGATTAGTCGAACAGTGCTAAAGCAAAGATTAAAATTAGAAGATAAGAGTCGCCAACTTTTCAATGACCCGTCCGGGCAGTCTCTCCAACACCGCATAGAAGACGACATCGGGAAGTTCTTCGAAGAAGTTGAAAGATGAGGTTGACATGTGCTAAAATAAAACTTGTACGAAACATCCATTGAAAAGCAATCACAAACTACAACATTTAAAAGCAATTATAGCAAAGCGTCTTACTAAAATAATGATGGGCAAAAAGTGAGGCAACATGCTAAAAGAAAGATGGGCAGAATGAGACAAAAATGGTAGGAACCCTTGCTTATAAAGGCTTTGCTTTGAGAGCATTCAAACAAAAAATAAAAATTTAATGATTATGGGAAAGCGTGTATACAGGATTTGCCCTAGATTAGCTCCGGGATCAAAAATAATTGACCCCAACATGGCGATTGATCGAGTACTTTGTTTTTTTCTGCGTTATTTCAATTAAATTTCCGTGTGGCGAATTGCCACTGCTCTGCAGATAGTCAAATTCCTTACACAAGTTAAAATTCAAAGTCGATGGATGAGATACCGTAGTCCGCCACTAGACAATTTTCAGTTGTTGTAAATTGTGTACTTAAAAAATCTATTCTTGAAGTTTAGTGGAGTCAGTTATGCCCCTTTTTCTATTCATTCCTTTTTTTTCACTTACAAGTGTTGAAATTGTTCTAAATAGCAAAATACGCGGTACAGACACAAACAACAAATACGACATGCAAAGAAAAAATGTTCAGAGATCAATCGCAAAGAAATGAAATTGTATCAGAGCCGAACTGTCCATACACCAGTAAGCGCCGCCGGGACTCGAACCCGCGACCTTTTGCATACCTGGCAAATGTGCTAATCATTACACCACAACGCACCTGGTCTCTCTTTCTTCAGGGGAAGTTAACTCATACACTTTTTATAGTAACCTTAAATAGTAGAGTCTGTTTCGCCCAAGTTTTCTAAAAGACATCATCCTTTTTCTAGAAGAACCACCGTTTGAGAGAACGGCTGATGCAATCCTCGTTCAGCTTTTATGGGACTTCTTGTGCAAAGCAACCGATCCGGGATTACATGAGCCAGTTTCTTTTCCACACCCCATTTCCTGTCCTAACATTCACCCGGGGGTATAACTCAGTGGCAGAGCGTTCGGCTGCAGTCCGAGAGGCCCATGGTTCAAATCCGTGTGCTCCCCAGGCTTTTTGCTTTTTGAAGAAGCATTCGAAGCAAAATTCAAGACGGGAAAAGGCTGTAGAAACCGGTGGTGATTTCAGTGAAATGCATGTGCAAACGTTTGGAGTTCGTGGAATCGTGGAACATTTCTGCACATAAATCTTCTGAATTCTACAATAATACTAGAAGGCAGCTCGTTCTAAAGAGGATGCTCTTTTACTTGGAGTTGAGCCTGAGCCGTTGTCAGTTGTGAAGGGGAGGTCAGCTTTTGAACAAAGTGAGGTTCAAAGCCGGGATACTTTAAACACTTTAATCCGAACATACAAATCCTAAACTTTTAAGTTGTATACACCACGGATTTCACAATGTTTTTGGAACGAATTCGAGAATCTAAACTTTCTCAAATTCTGAAATTAGAAAAAAGCTATCGTAATCCTGGAGCCTCATTATAAACGAGTCGTTTAGCCATCATTGGCAAGCCTGGCAAGCTGAATTCTGGTTAAATGACATTAAATGCGAAGTTTACACAGCTTTCTGATGATTCAAATCACGAAAAGAGCACCATAGATCAAAATTTCGAATTTTTTTTGACTCATTCATTTGAACAGTATCATTTTTTTACTGATTTAAGTAAATAAGTGATTTTTCTTTCGTTTGGTGTCAAGATCGAGGCGATGATCGGTCAATAGACCCAATAGCTTTCATTTTTTTCAAAAAAAATTTACTTCCTTGGCTTTTTGATATTGTTTAGAACAGTTTACAGTTTTTAAAAGAAACAATTATAGCTTTGTATTCGTTAGAAAGCTTAAAATCCATTGAAAATCGACTTTTTTTCCTTTTTTCCTTTGTTTTTCCATTTCCGAACACTATTTTGACTCCAAAGTTCGCCTTTTTTCGAATTTTTTTTACCAGCTTTGCACACATTCAAAGCTTCATCAATAAAAGTTTTAAACATTTAAATCTAGTTTTAGCTATGGACAATCATGGATTTCTAGAAGATTTCAAGAAAAATCCATTAATATCTTCGATAAATATGGCGAGAATTGATGAGGCTGATGAAATGGGGAAAGGTTAGTCAAAAATTCATCCTTTTTTTGAGTAACTAAACCAAATGAACATCAGGGGCAACCGCCATTTATGCGCAACAGGGTCGCTGCGCAACAGGGCGGCTCGCCATACCCGCAGCCAATCTTAGATTTTGGTTTCATTTTGTAGATCTCAAAAGTGTAAAAAAGAAACCACATAAGACGGAATGGGATTGTGGAAGATTGAGGATCCCGAGAAAAGGTTTATTGACGATTTTCAAATAGAAATTATGTGGTTTTAGATGAAATTTGCATGGAAAATCCGATTTTTTCAATTAATGACGATGATGATCCAAATCCGATCGTTCATTTAACAGATCGACCGAATAATATTCAGCAATTATCGAAGATTGACGAGACTGAGGAACGAGTGGAAAGTTCGTCTTAAATAGATCTTTAAGTAATCAAGATTTTGTTGTAAAGTCAAATTTGAATAAACTGTGGTGCAAAAGTCTTGTCCCACCATTAAAAAAGGAAAGCTAGCTAGGAAAGCGAGATTAGCCTAACATTTTGTCGTTCCTCCTTTAGCCATCACATCTTGAATCCGTTGAGGCATTGAATCGACCAAATCACGTAGAATTCCCGGAGAAATTTGTCGCCAAACGCCAAGAACCAAAGCTCGACCTTTGTGTTGAATTTTAGATTTTAGTATTTTTCCTTTCTGCTGTTCTTGCTCCTGAGTGTAGTCTTTAAATCGGCCCAAAGATGCTCTATAGCATTCAAATCCGGCGAATAAGGAGGCACTTTAATCAATTTTACACGATAAGCAGCAAAAACGCCGGGTAGGCGAGCTCTTCCTCCATTTGCAAGCCGGCCCATCATTAGCTGGCTTGGCCCATCATTAGCTGGCTCGGCGCATCATTAGCTGGCTCGGCTCATCATTAGCTGGCTCGGCCCATCATTAGCTGGCTCGGCTCATCATTAGCTGGCTTGGCCCATCATTAGCTGGCTTTTGTGGCATGGAGCGTCTTGATATAAGGTCCATCCTTGTGGCATGTTTGTGTTCGCAAATGGAAGTAAGTTGTTCTCTATGATTGCCTTGTACTTGGCTTTGGCCTGCTTTGCTGCTAGCCGATTCATCGTCCTTTTATTGCATTTGAAGAGCATCGCAATAGACGATGATGAATATCCATATTTCTTTGCTTGCACGATCTTTTGCTTATCAGAAGTTGATAAATATTTGCGAGTCGACATCTAAAAATAAAAATTCATAACAAAAAAAAAGGCAAAGAGAAAATACAAATTTTCTTAATGAGACAAGACTTTTTTCGCAAGTTTTACGAAAAAAAGGTTTTAAGCAATCAAAAAAAGCAATCAAATATTAGAGTACGGGCATTTACATCGTAAAAGATGAAGGGATAAGCTACCAAAAAAAAACCTGTTACTTAAAAAGTTGTTTTCGAAAATCTTGAATTTTGATAAAATGTTTCAGAAAAATAAGTCGGATAAGACTTTTGCACTAAAGGAGAAAATATTAAGAGTTGAAGATTTTGATATTCTACTTTTCAAGCATGAAAGGGATGAACTGCTTTCAAAGTATAGGTTTAAAATCAAATAAAACTGTGCACCACAGGGAATCTGAAATTCATGCAGATCTTGATACTCATCAAATGTCCACATTTGGTCATCAGGGGACACCGATTGACTTTGAGCGTTTGAGAGAGATCGATTTCGAGGGAAATCTGAGATTGGGTGAAGCGTTGGAGGGAATCGATGACGAGAGTGATGAGATGGAAAAAGTCGAAGAAAGTGAGCCCTCAAAATTTCACTTTTTCAGCAACAACCTTTTATAATCTTTTAAATTTGTCCAATCTGGATGTCACACTATAATTTGAAATCATTAAACTAATTCATTTGATCGATTTCGGATCGGTTTAGTTACCCGAGTGGGTTCTCCACTTTTTCAGCAACAACCTTTTTATAATCTTTTAAATTTGTCTAATCTGGATGTCACACTATAATTTAAAAACATTTTCGATGGCTTTTCGATGATTTTTTTAAAATTCACCGAATTCATCATTTTATTATTAAAATTTTACAAAATATCACAAAACTTTGGATTCAAATGATTCGTTATCATTTTCTTTTGTCTACAAGAGAATTTCAGTCAACAACGATTATGAAAATTAATGGAAACTAATGGAAAAATATTGGAATCAATCTATTTTTGTCTAATCTTTGCGAATCGGGCCACTTTTTCACTTCTGAAGAACCGTTGGGTAAATAAACCGAAAGAAAAACCGCCTAGAGCTTTGATTGTTTCACGATTTTGCTTTCTTTCTGCAATCTGGATGTCACACTAAAATTTAGCTATCTAAATTTCGTTCATGGATTGTAATACTTGTGTTTGAGGTTTTTGGTTTAGTTACCCGGGTGGATTCACCACTTTTTAAGCAACAACTTTTTGTAATCTTTTAAATTTGTTTGATCTGGATGTCACACTATAATTTGAAATGATTAAATCGGTTTTTGGATCGATTTCGGTTCGGTTTAGTTACCTGAGTGGATTCACCACTTTTTCAGCAACAACTTTTTGTAATCTTTTAAATTTGGCTGATCTGGATGTCACAATATGATTTGAGATGATTGAATCGGTTTTTGGATGCTCTTTGGGCTTAGGCTTAGGCTTAGGCTTAAGCTTAGGCTTGGATCTCGATCATTCCCAGTGACCCAAAAATAGTTTTAATCTTCACAGTGACTCAGAAATATTCTTAATCTTCCTAGTGACTTCCAGTTTGCCCAAAAAACATTAAAAAGCATCATCAAGCCTTTAAAAATCCACCAAAAAAGTCATAAAAAGAATCTCAGAAGGCAAGCCTACTTTTTCAGAAACAACTTTTTATAATCTTTTAAATTTGGCTGATCTGGATGTCACACTATAATTTGAAATAATTAAACCAGTTCTTTGATCGATTTCGGATCGGTTCAAATCTGATACCTTACTTTTCGCTTTTCTTGAGTCGATCTCTCTGAAATGGATCGCTGAAA